ACTCCTCCTCCTCCTCCTCCTCCTCCTCCTCCTCCTCCTCCTCCTCATCCTCCGCATCATTCCTCCGCCTCGTCCTCTCCTCCTCCTCCTCCGCCTCCTCCTCCTCTCCCGTTGTTTGCGCCTCATCAGCTTCCCCCGTTGCACGTTAAGCAAAATTCAGGAACGGCAACCTGCTGCGTTGCCCGCCCATCGTCTTCATCCTATTCCTCCGCCGCTTACTCCGCATCGTCAGTACCAGCACCATCAGCATCGTCAGCATCATCAGCATCATCATCATCATCATCATCAGCAGCATCATAATCATCCTCATCATCAGCATCAACAGCATCATCATCGGCATCAGCATCATCAGCCGTATCATCATCACCGTAATCAGTATCAGCATCAGCATCATCATCATCATCATCATCATCATCAACAACGTCATCAGCATTATCATCACAACCATCACCAGCATCACCATCAACGTCAGTAGCATCATCAACGTCATCATGATCAGCATCATGATCATCATCAGCAGCATCATCATCAGCGTCGTCAACCTCATCATCATCATCATCAGCATCATCATCACCAGCATCATCATCATCAGCATCAGCATAATGAGCAGCATCCTCAACATCAGCATCATCAGCATCATCGGCAGCATCATCATTGACATCAGCGGCAGCATCATCATGAGCATAGGCATCGTCGTCAGCAACATCGTCATCATCACCATCAGCATCATCAGTATCATCAGCATCACCACCATCATCATTATCATCGGCAAAATCGCCATCAACATGAGCATCAGCATCGTCATCCGCAGCGGCATCATCAGCAGCATCAGCATAATCTTCTTATTCTGCTTCAGCAGCATCATCATCATCAGCCGCATCAGCAACATCAGCATCCTCAGGATCGTTGTCATCGTTACCATCACCATCATTATGAGCATCACCACCATCATCATCAGCATCATCATCATCATCATCAGCATCATCATCATCATCATCATCACCATCATCATCGTCATCATCATACACATCATCAGCAGCATCATCATCATAATCGTCAAAACCATCAGCTTCTGCATAATCAGCATCATCATCATCATCGTCATCATCAGAATCATCGGCAGCATCAGCATCAGCATCAACATCAGCATCAGTATCATTGTCGTGGTCGTCATCATCAGTTTAAGCGTTCAGCATAAAAAGTATCAACAGCATCAGCATCAGCATCAGCATCATCATCATCATCAGAATTAGCATCAGCGTCAGCATCATCGTCATCAGCCGCATCTTCCGCATCATCATCATCATAATCAGCATCGGCATCATCAACATCAGCATCATCATCATCATCAGCAGCATCATCATCATCGTCAGCATCAGCATCAGCATCATAATCATAATCAGCATCGCCATCATCAGTACCATCAACATCATCATCATCAGCACAATCAGCATCATCATCAGCAGCATTCGAATCATCGTCGTCAGCATAATCATAACCGTCATCCTTATCATCATGAGCAGCAGCACCATCATCATCATCATCATCACCAGAAGCATCGTCATCATCATCAGCATCATCAGAATCATCAGCATCGTCATCATCAGCAAAAGCATCGTCAGCATCATCATCAGCGTCATCGTCGTCATCATCATCAGCAGCATCATCATCGCCATCATCAGCATCGTCATCATCAGCATCGGCATCAACAGCATCACCATCAGCAGTCATCATCATCAGCAGCATCGGCATCAGTATCAGCATCAGCATTAGCATCATCATCATCATCATAATCCTCGTCAGCATCAGCATCGTCATCATCAACTTCGGCACCATCCTCGGCATAATCATGATCGTCGTCGCCGTCATCATCATTACCATCATCATCATCAGCATCGTCATCATCATCAGCATCAGCAGCATCAGCATCAGCATCATCATCAGCATCAACATCATCATCGATAGCATCATCAGCAGCAGCATCAGCACAAACAGCATCATCATCATCATCATCATCAGCAGCATCATCATCATCCGCCTCCGCTTCCTCCTCCTCCTGCTGTTCCTCCTCCTCCTCCGCATCCTGTCCCCCCTCTTATTCGTCCTCATCCGCCTCCTCTTCCTTCTCCTCCCCCCCCCTCCTCCACCTCATGTTATTCATCCTCCTGATCATCAAAATCCACATTATGATTGTCAGCAGCGCAACATCATCATCAGCATCAGCATCAGCATCATCATCATCATCATCACCATCATCAGCAGCATTAACATCATCCGCCGCAGCATCATCATCACCAACAACAACATCATCAGCAGCAGCATTAAAGCCGTCATCATCAGCATCCTCCTTCCCCGCCTCCTCCTCCGCATATTCCTCCTCCTCCTCCTCCTACTCCTCATCATCATCATTCCCCCCCCCCCCTTCGTTTCATCATCCTCCGTATCCTCCTTCTCATCATCATCCTCCTCCTCTAATTCTCATTGTTGTGTTCGCAGGTCGTGCCGCGGGCGCAGGCCCGATCCGCATCCTCCTCCTCCTCCTCCTCATCTTCCTCCTCCTCCTGCCTCTCCCCTTGGCTCCCCTCCTCATCCTGCCCCTCCTCCTCCTCATCCTCCTCATCATCATTCTCCTCCTCCTCCTGCTCCTCCTCCTCCTCATCATCATCATCATAATCGTCCTCCTCCTCCCCCGTCTCGACGCCATCATCATCCTTCTCATCCGCCTCCTGTCCCTCCTCCTACTCATGCTCCTCCTCCTATTCATCTTCCTCCTCCACCTCCTCATCCTACTCATCCTCCTCCTCTTCCTCCTCAGTCTCCTCCTCCTCTTTCTCATCCTCCGTTTCCTCCTCCTCCTCCTCCTCCGCCTCCTCCTCCTCCTCGTCCTCCCTTCTCTTCCTCCTCATCCTCCTCCTGATCATCATCCTCCGCCTCCTCCTCCTCCTCCTCATCCGCATCCCCCTCGTCCCCCTCCTCCTCCTCCTCCTCCTCCTCCTCCTCCTCCTCCTCCTCCCCCTCCTCCGTCTCCCCCTCCTCCTCCTCCTCCTACTCCTCCTCCTCCTCATGCTACTCCTCCTCTCCGCCTCCTCCTCTCCTCCTCCTCCCTCCTCCTCCTCCTCATCATCATCATCTTCCTCCTCCTTCTTCTCTTCTCCTCTCCTCCTCCCCTCCTCCTCCTCCTCCTCCTCCTCCTCCCCATCATCATCATCATCATCATCATCATCATCATCATCATCATCATCATCATCATCATCATCATCATCATCATCATCAGCATCATCATCATAATCATCATCATCATCATCACCATCATCATCATCATCATCCTCATCATCAGCAGCAGCATAATCATCAGCATCATCCTCAGCATCATCACCATCATCAAAATCATCATCATCGACATCGTCATCGTCATCATCATCATCGTCATGATTATCATCCTCAGCATCGTCATCATGAGTACCCGTCTCATTATCATTAGCCGTATCCTTATCCTTATCAGTATCCTTATCCAGATCACCATCATCATCAGCAGCAGATCAGCAGCAGCAGCATCAGCATCAGCACCAGCAGCATCCGTAGCATCATCAGCATCATCATCAGCATCATCAGCAGCATCGACATCATCATCGTCATCATCATCAGCAGCATCATCATCCTCATCGTCGCCATCATCAGCATCACCAATATCCGCCGCATCACCATCATCATCAACATCATCAGCATCTTCGGCGTCAGCATCATCATCAGCATCAGCATCAACTTCATCTCAACAGCATCATCATCAGCATCAGCATCATCATCATCAGCATCAGTATCATCAGCATCATTTTCATAAGCATCATCATCATCATAGTCATAATCATCATCATCATCATCGTCATCATCATCATCATCATCATCATCATCATCATCATCATCATCATCATCATCATCATCATCATCATCATCATCATCATCATCGTGAGCATCCCCAGCATCATCAGCATCAGCGTCATCATCGTGATCATCGTCATCAGCATCATCAGTAGCAGCATCATCTCCAGCATCAGCATCATCATCCTCAACATCATAATGGTCCTCATCATCCGCACCAGCATTATCAAACCCATCATCAGCAGCAAGAGCATCATCATCAGCAGCATCATCATCAGCAGCAGCATCATCATCGGTATCAGCATCATCATCATCACCATCATCATGGTCCACATCAGTAAACACATCCTCATCCTCCTCATCAGCAGCATCATCAGCATCATCAGCAGCACCAGCAACATCCCCATCATCATCATCAGTATAAGCATCGTCATCATCATCATCGTCATCATCAGCAGTAGCACCCTCATCATCATCAGCATCGACATATCATCCTCCTCATCATTCTCGTCATGCTCCTCTTCATCCCCCTCCTCTTCCTCACCCTCCTCCATCCTCCTCCTCATCATCACCATCAGCATCATCAACATCACCACCATCATCACCACCGCGTTGCGTTGCGTTGCGCGCGGTCGAGCAAGTTGGCCCTACGCCGATCTCGGGCAAGGCAGAATGTGCTAGCAGAGCTGCACGACGTCATGCCAACGACGCCGCATTCGACCTCTTGCACGATGTGGCTGGCTGTTCTTCAGCGCCGCACATGCAGTAGGGGCCATCCGTGCGCAAGTTGAGGCAGCGACGGTGTGTTGTGCGGCCGACGCGCGCCGAGGTAGCGGCGAAGGAGGAAGCGAGAGAAGAGGGGGCCGGGAGGGGGAGGAAGGAGGAGGAACGAGGACAGGGAGGAGGAGGAGGAGGAGGAGGAGGAGGAGGAGGAGGAGGAGGAGGAGGAAGAGGGGGGGGACGAGGAGGAGGAGGAGGAGGAGCACGAGCAAGAGAGGCGGGAGCGGGAGCAGGATCAGCAGGAGCAGCAGGAAGCGGGAGAAAGAAGGACCAGAGCCAGCCCGAGGCGCATCGAGCCCGAAGCCCTGCCCCTCGACGGGGCCGGTGCGCGCCGAGGCCGCGGCGGCGCGCCAGCCGGCACGAGCAGCCCGAGCGCCGCGGGCGCGAGCAGCGCGAGCAGCACTGCGAGCGCCCGCCTCGATGCAGCGGGCGGGGGCGCGGCGGGCTGCGGCGCTGCAAAACGCGAGCGACGCCACCCCATCTGCGGCCCCATGGGGGCTCAGCGTATGCCAGGAGATGCGGCGTGGGTTTCTGCGTGGCGTGCGCTGCGGCCCCCGATGGGCCGTAGCACAGCATGGAGGGCCGTAGGCGGGGTAGTATCGTCTGTTCTTTATTCCAAGCCGGCGGCGAGGGAGGAGGGGAAGTGAGGAGGAGGAGGCCATCTCAGAGGGCGGCGGGGCTTCTCAGAAGCCCTCCGGCCGTCTGAGAGGTGTTCTGTGTCTTCGGGGAAGCTCATAGAACTGCTCAGGAGACCGGAGGAATTCCGAGCCTTCTGAGAAGGCCCGCCCCTTCTCACTTCCCCCTGGGCTCGCCGCCGAGTCAAGCTGCTACGAAAATGATCGATAAAGAAGGAGCGGCCCACTTTCTTGGGCACAGAAGCGGATGGGTGCATGAGGTGCGCTAGAGGAACAAGCATGGAAGTACCTGAGAAACCGCGAGCCCCTTCCGAACCCAAAATGGTCCCCATGTCAGCTCCTTGCCTGCTCCAGAACGGCGACCATGCACCGCAGCATGTCTGGAGCCCGTCCGGGCCCGGCCTCCACGCGGCACGGTGCACAGCCTGTCGGCTCTAAGAGGGGCGGAGAACCTGTGCAACGTGCCATGCCCGGGGTCGAGGCTCGACGACGCCCCGGGAGGCGCCCACGCTGCGTCGGCGGCTGGGCAGCGTCACTGCGCCGGCGAACGGGGAGCGACACGGGGCAGGCGTTCAGCGAATTGTGCCACCATGCGGAAGGGGGGGTGGACGCAGGACGACGGACGACGGCCGAGGGGGCAGGCCACGCGGTGCACACGAGGCTTCCGCGGAGGGCGTGGGGCGTCCCGCTCGCCGCGCCCGAGGGCCGAAGAGGGGCGGAGGGCACCGCGCGCGCGTCGCCGAGCAGAGGGGCCAGCGCGGCAGGAGGCCCTCGGCGGCCTTCGGCCTCGGCAGGGGCCGTCGCCAGGCCTCGGGGCCGTCAGAGCGCGGCCTCCGAAAGTCATGTGGTTCCCATCGTACCTAGGGACCAGATGCCGAAAAACATTTCGAGCACCCAGACTAGTATACAAACCGTGTCGAACGAGTATTCGCCTCCCAGGGCCCGACGCGTGAAGACCCACCAGCTTGGGTATTTTCTCAGGGTGCTCGACATTCTTTCTGGCGCTCAAGGCTAAAGTAGGCTGGGACATCATGATCCAAGAGGAAGCATTGGTCCCGGGGGGAAGGGGTCCAAACCTCTGGAGGTCGACGGCTCAGAAGAAACAAACAAAAACAAAACAAAAAAAACTAACAAAAATGACGGCGGAGTGCTGAAGCGGAGGGGCGGAGAGGTGGAGGGGAGAGGGGCCTCGCTTGCCGTTGCTCGGGCGTCCCTTCCGCGTGCAGTTTGTCGGCTTCGTGCGCTCACACATCTTTCGCAAGACGATCCAGGATGCTCCTCCATGGTCTTCGCCGAGAGAAAACGCACACGTCCGAGCGATGCCAAGTCCAAGGCTTCAAGGCTGTAATCGGTGTATCCACCACGGTCGATCGCAACATGATCACAGCGCACTGCTACCAGGGGAGCCGCAGGAGGAGGAGGAGGTCCAGCAGCAGAACAGGGGAGATGAGGACGAGGTGGACGACGAAGAAGGCGACGATGACGACGACGACGAGGACGAGAAGAACGAGGAGGAGGAGGACGACGACGACGACGACGACGACGAGGACGACGACGAGGAGAACGACGAGAACGAGGAGGAGGACGACGACGACGACGAGGACAACGAGGACGACGACAACGACGACGACGAGGACGACAAGGACGACGACGAGAACGTGGCCCGAGTCCTTTGCGCCTCGCAGGGGGGGGCCCTCGCAGCTCCCAAGACGCCACAAGAGCTCCCAGATAGTGCCCAAGAAGCCCACGACGCCTCACATGTGTACTCCCCCCCACTTCTGGGGACCGACGGACTGGCGTAAGCTTAAGTCTGGCGTGTCCGTCTACAGAAGGAAACTATGGGGACGATTAATTATGCTACATGTGACTATGCTTGAATGTATTTTGACTATGTGTTTTAATTCTGTCGTCCAAAATCCAACTGTACGGGGACATGCCCGACCTGAACGTGAGCCTCTCGACCTCCTGCATGAGCATGTCTGAGTGATGCCGATGGAGCCCTGGGAGGTCCGCGAGGACCCGTTGGATCTCCAGCGCCCGCTTCTGCCATAGGGGAACAAAAAATGGCATAAACACAAAAACTCGGAGGTCCGCGCGGGTTTCTCGGATCCGCGCTGGACCCCCCTGGCGGCGCCTCCGGCGCCGCCCCTGGCGCGCTCCGCGCGCCGGGGAGGGGGGTCCAGCGCCGATCCGAGAAAGTCGCGCGGACCTCCGAGTTCTTGTTCCCCTATGCCACTCTTTGTTCCCCGATGCCAGGACCCCTGTCCCACCCGGCCCGTGCGCCTCGCAAAAGAAGGGGCCCGCGGGGGGGCCCTCTGCGGCCCTCCCCGCGGGAGCGCCTCGCCGAGGGGGGGGAGAGAAGCTCGCCACCGGGCACGGCGGGCGGCCGCAGGGCGAGGGCTTCCCGGCAGGGGGGGGGGGGGCACGCTGCCTCGCCTGCCGCTGCGCTTTCTCAGAGGGGGGCACGGCCAGCAGAATCGGAGAGACGTCAATTGGCGGCGCGCACGAGGGGAGCCCCCCTTGCAGGGCTCGCGTCAACTCTTCCGGCTCGGTCCGATTCGATTCGGCCTCGGGTTTCAATGTTGACTCCAGATTCTCAACGGCGGCCAAGAGAATCGGGGACACGTGAGTTGGCGGCGCGCACAAGGGGGGGATGGGGGAGAGGGGAAGGCTTCTTCACATGAGGCTGCTGGGCTCCCTTGGCGGGGGATGGCCCGCTGCCTCGCCTGCTGCTGCGCTTTCCGAGGGAGGCAAGGCCAACAGAAGCGGTGAGACGCAAGTTGGCGGCGCGCACAGGGGGGTCAGGGGAGCGGGGAAGGCGTCTTAAAAGTCGGGGCTCAAGAGACGGAGGTCAATGCAAACGGGGGTCAACCAGAGCGCCGCATCTTGAAGAATCCTGCAAGGCCAGGAGCGCACTAATCCGGGCTTGGGTGCAGGATCCTGCGGGATCCTGCAGGATCCTGCAAAGCCTGACTGAACCAGGTCTGGATTGACCCGGGTCAATAGATCCCCGAAGCAGGAGGCTGCATCTTAGAAGGCGCGGCCCTACATCTACGGAGAAGGCCCGCACCTCCCAAGAAGCAGGGGTGCTTCCTAGAAGCCTTCCCCCCTGCCCTACTCCCCTTCTGCGCGTGATCGGGTAAGACTCGGCTTAGGGGGACTCGGGTTCGCCTGACGGGGCCGTCAGGAAAATGAAGAGACCCAGTCTGAATTTTGACACGAGCTCCCACCGCAAACATGTCACAAGAATTGGACCGTCAAAATCCAGGACGGGCCGGTAAGCAAAAAACGTCGGCGAACTCAAGTCCTAGCGAACGAGTCCTACGTTTCCCCGACATTAGCACACGCGTAGACATGAGCCTCGGGGCTGCGCGTTGAATCTCTCCCCACGAGCATCGCTCCATCGATCCCTATCCCCAACGGCATGGCATTGGCCACACTGGCCAGCTTACCCCAAAAGGTGGGTATATACGATGTTTCGATCGGATTTCGCGCGGCCTATCCCCACTTGGACGGGCGACCTGGTGGGGCTAAGACACCATGGCACATTGGGAAGGCAAATCGGATTAGGCGATGCTGACCCCAGGCCACCTCATCATGCAATAGCGCGATCCGGGTATGGAAAAGACAATATACAATGGACGGAAAGGGGTAGCAGGGTATGAATGCACCACGTAAAGCCGGTATGGCTGCGGCGAAGCACCGTGCTGTGCCGGGCGAGAAGTAGCTGGGGGAGATCGGGAGGGCGAGTGGACGGCATGGAGGGGGAGCATAGGGGAAGGAATGCGAGGGGACGTGAGGGTATGAGAGGAAGGTGGGCAGCGACGGGGGTATAGAGGGAGGAAAGGGGGCGATGTGAGAAGGGAAGGTGGAGAGAGTCGGAGTGGGAGAGGAAGGAAGAGAGGGGGAGATACGGGAAGCGGCCACAAACCGGCCCGAGGGGGCCCCCAGGGGCCCCCAAGACTACCTCACAGGAGGCCAAGACAACCACAACACCGTCCAAACGGGTTTCATGGGGGCTCCTCAACCTGTGAAGACGACAGGTGTCACATGTGACGGCCTTCCTTTTCCTCTTCCTCCTGCTCCTGCTCCTCCTCCTCCTCCTCCTCCTTCTCCTCCTCCTTCACATCATCCTCATCATCCTCCTCATCTTCATCCTCCATCACCACCATCGTCATCATCGTCATCATCATCGTCATCATCATCGTCATCATCATCGTCATCATCATCAGCAGCATCGTCGTCATCATCATCACCACGGTTCACCCAAGCCTGAGGAAACGAAGTGACACACATGACGGCCTCCGATGCCCCCTCGAGCAAGGGCCGCCCACAATGCTGAACTGGCACAGTGGTGGGATTTGTCGCAAGCAACTGGATTATATGCAAAGTACGCCAGCATCCAAGAACGTACACCATCTAGTTGTTCAACACCAAGTCAACGACCTGGCGAACAAACTACATGTCCGTGAATGTGGAACGGTATACAAATATATGTGAGATATGCTGGTTGACTATGTAAATAGCCAGAGGGCTACAGGACACCCGCAGGACATCCACGTAACAAGAGCTGGTCAATCACGGGACAACCGCATGACAACCTAGGATAACCGCGCCAGCCGTGAGGCGGCGAACCTTTTTGATCGCAGCGCTGGCGGACACTCAATATGGCGTACATGCCAAAAGCTACGGAAAAGTCTCTCTCGCACTCTCGCAGCCTCGCTTCGCCCGTACCAGCAGCCAGGCCCGACACTGAGATCGGTGTCCCACTGGGGGGGGAGGGGCACTCCGTTGTGTTTCGGTCTCATCCCCCAGCCTCCGACGAAGGGAAGGGGAATTGGGGAGAGAGGCAAGCTAAGCGCAATCGCGCCATATCTGACATCCTGCTCCTTCGTGACATTCCTTCCCATTGCGTCGACTTTTCTCCATCCGCCAACGGGTGTCAAAGCGGACGTAGAACCTCCGAACGGACCCGATCGCGCCATGATCAGTCAGAAGGGGGAGCTGTGCACACTGCAGGAGGAGGAGGACGAGGAGGAGCGGGAGGAGGAGAAGGAGAAGGAGGAGGTGGCGGACGGGCAGAGTGAGGAAATAGAAAGAGAACGGCGAAAGAAGAGGTACGGGCGCCCGAAAACCTTCTCGTGCACCGCCCAAGCATCAATAGGCGCGGCCACCCTGAGTCGCAGCGCGGGCACCGCTGCCGCTCCGTCTACCTACTGTCGCCCGGAGCGCCGCCGTCCGGCGGCTTTGGCGGCCTCGGCATAGCCGAGGCAGAACCGTATGTGAGGGGGAGGGGGAGGACAAATGGAAACCCCAGAACCATCAACGACGTTGGAATACAACACCCTCCCTCCAAAATCCCTCTTCATAGACCCCTACAATCAATGGGTCATTTCCATTTGGGGAGTTGCCCCGTTGGGGGACACGCGTGTGAACATCTGGAAGCGTGCCAGAACATTATGCTCAGGACCTCAACGCCACGAGTTAACCTGACTGTTACGTATGGGCGATCCTGACTCGTGCCAGAATACCATTCCCCAGATTTGAACACCGCGAATCAACGAAACTGTTGCGCCCGTGACAACCCTGAATCGTTCCAGACACACACTTTCTGGTATGTTGACAATGATGATCACGAATGTACGCGGCGCTAGGACGGGAGCCACATCTTGGAAAGGAACCGCATCCGCGAAACTCTTACAACTTTTTATGAACGAATGTGCGCAGCTGCGAAAGCGATAACTACATTCAAAAAGCAACCCGCCCTCAATCCGCGAAAGATCTGCAAACTTTTAAAAACGAATGTGCGCGGCGATAAGGCAAGAGCTACAATTTCAGAACGAACCGCCCTCAGTCAGTGAAACTCTTGCAAATGTTGCAAAGAATGCGCGCGGCGGTGCTATGGCAAAAAGCCACATTTTGAAAACCACCCGCCCGCAACGCGTGGAAATCTTACGCATGTGCAAACCGAATGCGCGCGACGCTAAGGCAAAAACCACATTTTGAAAACCACCCGCCCTTAATCCAAGAAACTCCTGCAATGTTGTTTAACGAACGTGCGCGGCGCTACGGCCAGAACCACATTTTGAAAACCACCCGCCCCAAGTCCGTGAAACTCCTGCAATGTTGTTTGACGAACGTGCGCGGCGCTACGGCGAGAACCACATTTTGAAAACCAGGCGCCATCCATCTGTGAACCAGTTGTCAATATTTCAGCATCAGGGTCACAATCTAATGGCCAAGACGTCTCAAGCGACACGCCTGGCCCGCCCTTTCGACCGGCCTCGGGGTGCGACAGGGAGGCGTTATCTATATAGAAACAAAACTGGGGAGGAGGAAGCGGGAGAGCCGCAGTGCAGGAGCAAAAACCGCGGGAAGGCCTCCTGTGGACGGAACACTAGCTTCGGACCCCCCCCCATCAAAAAAAAAAACATTCGAAAACGCTACAAACATGGAGCCAGGCAGGCGGACTCTGCAAAATCCCGAACAAACGACCCCCCAAAAAATTAAGGAAATTTTGTCCTTTGCACCAGCGCGGCCAGCTAATGAAAGGCTCCTGCGGACGGAACGCCGGTTCTGGAACCAAGAACAGGAACAAGCACACTCAAAAACGCCTGCGACACGCAGCCAGGCCAGGCAAAAGCAGCAGAGTCCCCATGAAATCCAAAAACAAAACGTTGAGAAATCGTGTCCTTTGCACCGGCGCGGGCAGCAAGTCAACGCGTCCTGGGGCCCGAACGCCGCAAAGGCGCGCAGTCAGGCCAACCACCCGCAAAATCCCGACGGCCAAAAACCAAACTTGATAAAATATTGTCTCGGCACCGGTTGGGCCAGATTATAAGCCTCCAACAAACAGAACGCCGGTTCTGGAGCCCAAAACACGTCCAATAAGGCTAGCGACACGCAATCCGACCAAGCAAAGTCAGCAGGATAACAAACGGCCAAGAAAAAATTGTTAGATGTTTTGTTTTTGGCTGGAACGGCCGGAAAACTAAACAGAACGCCCGCTTTGGAACCCGAAAGGAAAAAACACATTCCAGAAACCAAAAACACGCAGCCAGGCCAGGAGAAACAACAAAATTGGTAACAAACGACCTATAAGCAAACATTGAGAAACGTTGACTTTTGCTCTGGCGCGGCCGGCAGATTCAACGCTCCCGCGGACGGATCGTCGGCCATAGAACTCAAAAGCTCCCCAAAAAACAACCGACACACGCAACCAAGCCCACTTGTAGATCACCAACCTGAAAATCACAAAATTGCAACAACCTATGATTCAAATTCGCACTTCGCAGAAATATCAAACTCTTGCTAAAACCGTGAAGTATTGTGTTGCATATTATCGAAATACCAAAACCAAATGTGTCAGAATCCGAATTTCACACGGAATGACTTGGTAAATTGAAAACATAAGTTGAATACATCGACAACAAATACACTTCGAATTGACAAACTAACATGTGGATTTCAATCAACAATACACAACTACGAACTGAATATAACCCACAAGCTGTGAAATCGAAACATAAGCACAAGCAACATCGAACCAAACGTTTGCAACAAATGCCGGAAAAATTAAGCACACCGACAAGCTCTCAGTCCTTACGCTTCTTGTTCCCAACCATCCTGTGATGTTGGGTCCTCGTTTTGAAGAGACAACGCCCCGCGTTGTTTTTCCTCCTCTCCTCTCCTCTCCTCCTCCTCCCTCCCCCCTCCTCCGCAGTTCGCATGCGTCTCCCCCACCCAGCACGGCGCTCCGCGGCCCCAATGGGAGCTTCAAAAAAGGTCCCAGGTGGCGCAATCCGCACGCGGTTCTCCCGCCCAGTACAACGTTGGGTGGCCCGAAAGGGAATTCCACCCAAGATCCCAGCAGCACAGTCCGCATGCGGTTCCCCCACCCAGTACAACGCCGCGTGGCCCCAGAGGGAGCCACACCGAAGGTCCCAGTGGCGCAATCTGCACGCGGCTCCCCCATCCAATACAACGTTGCCCAGAGGGAGTCCCACCAAAGGTCCCAGTGGAGCAGTCCGCATGCGGTTCCCCCACTCAATACAACGCTTCGTGGGCCCAGAGGGAACCCCACCGAAGGTCCCAAGGGCGCAGTCCGCATGCGGTTCCCCCGCCCAACACACCGTTTCGTGGCCTCACAGGGAGCTCCACCGAAGGTCCAACCGGCGCAATCTGCACGCGGTTCCCCTACCCAACACAGCGCTTCGTGGCCCCAAAGGGACCTCCATCGAGTGTCTCGGTGGCGCAGTCCGCACGCGGCCCCCCATCCAGCATAGCGCTTCGTGGCCCGAGAAGGAGTTCCAGCGAGGGTCCCACTTGCGCAGTCCGCATGCGGTTCCCCCGCGCAGCACAGCGCCTCGTGGCGTGGCCCAATGAGGAGATTCACCGAAACTCGTGGCGGCGCAGACCGCATGCGATCCCCCCACCCAGTACAACGCTTCTTGGCCCCATAGGGAACTCAGTGGCGGAACTCGCATGCGGTTCCCCCACCCAGCACAGCGTCTCGCGACCCCACAGGGAGTCCCACCAAAGGTCCCATTGGCGCAGTCCGCACGCGGTTCTCCCGCCCAGCACAGCGTTTCGTGGC